AGCAGCAGATCCACCGCAGACCCACTACCCACCGCACGGAGCAGCAGATCCACCGCAGACCCACTACCCACCGTGCAGAGCAGCAGATCCACCGCAGACCCACTACCCACCGTGCAGAGCACCAGATCCACCACAGACCCACTAGCCACCGCACCGAGCACCAGATCCACCACACAGCCACTACCTACCGCACGGAGCAGCAGATCCACTGCAGACCCACTACCCACCGCACGGAGCAGCAGATCCACCGCAGACCCACTAGCCACTGCTCGGAGCACCAGATCCACCACACACCCACTACCCACCGCACTGAGCACCAGATCCACCGCAGACCCACTAGCCACCGCACGGAACAGCAGATCCACCGCAGACCCACTACCCACCGCGCGGAGCACCAGATCCACCGCAGACCCTCAGTGGGGCCTCCACGGAGCAGGCACCGCCTGCCTGGCCTTCTGGGAGTGACCCCACCCTGTACCCATGACCCCGGCAGCCCCCTACCCCTGCCAGTGCCCACCTGTCCCTTTGCTGCTGGCGCCCAGGGTACCCACCTGCAGTGGGAGCACCACGAGGGCCACGCAGATCATGATGACCACCAGCAGCTGCGATGGCCAGATCTTAGGCGTGACGTCGCCGTAGCCCACGGTGGAGAAGGTGACGATGCAGAAGTAGAAGGAGGTCAGGAGGGACAGGTTCTCGCCCGCCCGCTCCAGGTGCTGGATGCCGCAGGTCCTGCAACCCCGGACAGTGAGGGGTGGCCTGGGGCCCGGGAGCCAGGGCCGTGGCCCCTTGGGGCTCCTGCCTGCCCACGGGACCCTCGCTGTCCATGAGACTGAGCTTGGCCTCGTCACCAGGTGAGCCCCACCCTACTGATAGCTGGGTGGCACCGGGCCCTCAGCCCCACCCATCTGTCCCCAGGCTCTGCCTGGGCCGCCTCCTACCCGTCGCTGGCTGACAACACAGCTGACCCCTTGCCACAGTGTGGCGGCCTCTGTTCACAGTAATTTCCCCAGAGCCTCCCTGCCTGCCCAGCGCTCTTTCCTAGGCCTCTGGAAAATTCTCTGGGAGCAGGGGATGCAGGGCTGTGCCATCAGTTTGGGCTTGGGTGGGGAAGGGGTGGGCATGGGGTTGGGCCCTCCAGCCCCATCTCAGAGCCATGCCCCTTACTCGCCACATGCAGGCCTCTGCCGGGCACAGCCAGACAACACTGGGGGGTCTAATGGGCAGGGCCAGGGTCACTGACAGGTCCCAGATGCCATCTGCATGGATGCCCCAATCTGCCTGCTGAGCTCTGTGTCTGTCATGAGGGGCAGTGGCGGAGGGGAGGCAGGAAACACCGGGCACTCTCCCTGCCCCCAGGGCACTGTGCTTGCCTGGCATGCCTGCCTGGGGATGGGAAGTGGCGACCAGGCCTGGCTAGGACCAGGGCACAGGGGCACACTCAGGCGGGTGGAGGCCTTCGCAGCTCTGGGCGCCCCCACACCTCACAGCTGGGCCTCAGCCAGGAGTCACCCCTGGCCTAGGGGCCAGTCCCCTTCCCTATGTCAGTGGCATAGACCAGGAAGCCAGACTTAGGTATCACTGGCCTTGGAAGAGTAAAATTACAGGGCTGCTTATGTAGTGGGAATGTGGGCTTGGAGCTGCCTCCTGACCTCAGTCCCAGCTGGGTGGCCCGACAGCGGCAGCCCAGGCAGCGTGGCCTTTCCTGTCCCCTGACCGCCTAGACATGGGCATCTGCACCCTCTCAGGCCCTCCCAACGTCCTGGGGTGCTCACACTGATGGCTGACACTCACCCCGTGAAAACAAGGCACAGCAGGGTGCAGAAGAGGATGAGGACCTGGTTGAACATGGCCGACTGCGTCCGCAGGATGGCACGGTGGAAGTCGTTCTGTGGAGGGAGCGGCAGCTGTCAGCGGGCAGGGACTGTGCACCCCACCAGAGCAATCAGTAGAGAGAGGGATGGGGAGAACAGACGGCTGAGCCACACCTGCGTCCGCGCTGAGGCCCACGGGGGAGCCCGCACCTGGCCACACCTGTGTCTGCGCTGAGGCCCACGGGAGCCTGCACCCGGCCACACCTGCGTCCGCGCTGAGGCCCACGGGGCAGCCTGTACCCGGCCACACCTGCGTCCGCGCTGAGGCCCACGGGGCAGCCTGCACCCGGCCATACCTGCGTCTCCGATAAGGCCCACCTGGGCAGGGCACCACCTCTGCTGTACTCTCAGGGCAGGTCCCTAGCTTGCCTACGTCCCTGGGGATGAGGCTTAAGGCTCAGGCCAGAGGGCTGGTTAGTGTGCAAGGCTTGGACCCAGCGCGGTAATGCTGCCTTACCCCTGGGGCAGGAATGGGGGCTGTGATCCAAGGGGTCTGGCTTGGAGAAGGGGGCTGCCACTATTCACACGACAGGGGCCTTGCTGAGCCACTCAAAGCAGGGCCTGCTTGTGGCCCTGTGGCCCCAGTTTCCTCAGACGCTCAGTACAGGACCTGTCTGTGGTCCCAGTTTGCATGTGGCCTGGCGTTTGTGGCCCTGGCCCTCGTGGCCTGGGTTTGTCACACCCTACACTTTGTCCCTCCTCCTCCTGCCAGTCGTGTAATTGCCAGGGTTAGGAAAAGCTCTGGGAGTGAGTTTCTTCCTGGAAAGGGAGCGTTTGAGGCGTGGCTTGGATGTTTTATCGGCACAGAGTTTCCGCTGCCCTGGCCCCCTGGTCCTCCGTAGTTACACCAGGGCTGGGGCATGGCAGGCTATGTCCCGCAGTGTCTTCCAGGGCCGGTGAGGCTGAGGGTGGCCCCCCAAGTCCCAGCTGCACCCCCCCCCCAGCTTACAATCATGTTTTCCAGCGCGTGCTTGGCCAGCCAGCAGTTCAGAAAGACGGGGATGAACAGGTTCCGCAGCGGTGGCCAGAAGATCTGTGAAGGGGACAGGTCAGGGCTGGGGCTCCAGGACCCCCACTCCTGGCGGCCGGGGCTCACCCACCGTGATGATGAAGGGCAGCGTGTTGATCATCTCCAGGACAAAGGACACTCGGAAGATCTGCTCCCAGATGTTTCCCTGGGGGCCAAATGGGGCGTCAGGGGGGTGAGGGAGGGTGAGGGTGGGGCCTGGTGTGGGAGGAGCAGGGTGGGGAGAGGGCAAGGAGCCCACCCTGGAGGTCAGGGGATGAAGCTGGGAAGTGTGAGGAAATGGGAGAGGGTGGGGAGATGGGGGAGGTGGGGTGGGGACCCCCTGCGAGGTGCCACCCCGGGTAGGCACTCACTTTGTAGCTGAGGTAGATGAGAAGCATCGTCTCCAGGAAACTTATTATGGCCACGATGACCTGGGAGTCGGGAAAGGGAAGGAGCCTGGAGCAGGCCGGGGCCGGGGCTGGACACAGGGCCTGACCCCACACCCATGGGCCTCAGCGGGCGGGTACCACACAAAGACAGGCATGCGTGTCTGGGAGCTGCCTTGACCCCTGTGCCATCCACTCCCGTTCCCCACCCCAGGAAAACAGCAAGAACGCAGATGGGTCCGGGGAGGGAGAGATTCAGATGGTGAAACAGATGGGGGGTGGGGGGTGGGCAGGAAGCCCTCAGGGATTCCTGGGAAAACTGTGGAGTGCAGAAGACCCTGGGCTGGTCCTTGGCACTCACTGAACCTGGGTTGCCTACTTAGCCTGAGCTTGTCCTCAGCATTCACTGACCCTGGGTTCCTTGCTTACTAAGCCTGGGTCTGTCCTCTGTGCTCGCTGAGCCTGGATCCCCTGACTACTGAGCCTGAGTTTGTTCCCAGTACTCACTGAGCCTTGGTTTCCTTCTTACTAAGCCTGAGTCTCCTGTTTCCTGATCCTGGGTCTGTCCTCAGTGCTCATGGAGCCTGGGTCCCTTGTTTACTGAGCCTGGGTTTGTCCTCTGGATTTACTGAGCCTGGGTCTGTCCTCAGTGCTCACTGAGCGACACTGCAGTGGGGAGGGGGGCAGGGTGGGGCACTCACCTGAATCACCCACAGTGTCATCTTTCTCTCCACCCACAGAATGGGAGCCCTGGGGAGAGAAAGGAGGCAGCACAGCAGAGCACCCCAGCCACCTGGGGTGGGGCCATAACCACTGGCCTCCACTGGCCCCAAGCTTGTGCTGCTCATTGGGGATGGACCAAAGGAGTCTGCCTTGTCCTTGGAGGGGACCAGAGAACTAGGAGGGAAGGGAAGTTTCCCCAAGAGATGAGGAAGGAGCAGGACTGCAGTGGGTGGGCCCCCCAGGAGGTGCTTGTGAGGCCAGAGCCATGGCTGAGTACCATGGAGCCTCAGCCTGCAGCTCATGGAACTGCCGAGGGGGGCAAAGCTTCTCCTCTCTGGACACGACAGGCAGCAGCCTGGGCCCCTGGAGCCGGGCTCTCATGAATGTCCCTGAGGGCAGGGAGGTCTGACTGTCTAACTGACAGCTCCCTGGGTTTCCCTGAGACTCAGTTCCTCATCCATAAACAGGCAGGGGCTTGGCTGCAGGGGGCCATCTGCCCCTCGCCTGATGCAGACAGAGGCTTGGGGTCTGGGGACAGGTCTTAAACTCTGGACCGGGTACCCAGGCTGCCCCTCAGTCACCTCCCACTGCCTGCCTGGGGCAGCTGCTTTCCTTGGCCATAACACGGTGAACTGGAAGAGAAGCCGCCAACTCAGGGGGAGACGGGCTTCCCTGCATCTCACTGGGCGCAGGAAGAGCGTGTGGAGGCTGTGGGACTGGCTGGGAACTCACAGCTCTCAAACGTTCCCTCTTGACAGGGACATCCCAGCGTTGACCACAGCCAGGGCCAAGGGCAAAGGTGTCCTGGGAAACCTGGGTGGCTGCTGGGCTGAGGCTGGGCATTGTCCCTCAGGTCCAGGCCGTGTGAGCCTCTGCTGATGCCACCCACCCTGGTCCCCGGCCTCCGAGCGCCTGGCTCTCGGGAGCTGGAATGTGGACTTACCAGTTGATCTCGGAGGTCGAGTCATTGAAGGTGTAGTTCTGCTTGGGGCAGCCCCAGCTGTGGAGAGACGCAGTGCTGGCCCAGCCTCGGCCCCTCCAGCACCACTGAAAGGACCTGCTGCCCGCGGGCTGCCTACTCACCCACCCAGGGCTAACCCCCACATCCTGGAGGGGCCTGAGCCCTAACCCCTGGGAGACATGGCAGCCTGTCCCCTCTCGCAGGAGGGCCTCTAACTGAGGATGGGCGGGGTGGCCTCTGCTCAGCCCAGCAGGCAGACAGCGAGGGCACATCCCACATCTGGGGGGGTAGGGGGGGAGTTCCGACCCAACAGCGAGATGCGGCTTCTGCCTGTGCTGACAACAGGCTTCCAGGGAGCGGCCCTACATGACCAGAGAGAGCACATGGGAACACTCGGGGCCTCCCCAAGGCCAGAGCTGCCTGAACAAGGCTGGACAGTGCTTGAGAGACAGGGAGAGGAAGCTCCCACCCTATGTGGTGCTGACTCCAAGAGGCACATCCCTAAGCTGCTTCTGAGGACAAGCGACCCCAAGCCACCTGGAACCAGCTGCTGGGACAGTGACCAGGGTATGGCCGGCACGCTAGTTTTGTCCCAGACTGTCACCCACGCCAGGGTCACTGACCAAGGAGACCTCACTGCTCACAGGGCCCCCGGTGATGCTGGTTCCTCAACGCCAGGGTCACTGACGAAGGAGACCTCACTGCTCACAGCACCCCTGGTGATGCTGGCTCCTCCTGCCTTTTCTTTCAACTGACCCACTTTCCGCTGATTCTTAGTGGGGTTGTTGCAAACTCAATGCCCACAGAAGTACCTGGACATCCATCTATCATCCATTCACCTAACCATCTTTCCACTCACTCACCCCATCCGTCCATCATCCATCCATCCATCCATCCATCCATTCATCCACTCATCCCTCCATCCATCCATCCCCCCATCTGTCCATCCATCCACTCATCCACTCATGCATATCCATCTATTAATCCACTCATTCATCCCTCTATCCACCCACATATCCATCCATCTATCCATCCATCATCCACCCATCCTCCCACCACCATCTGTGTCCTGGGCGCTGTGCTAGGGGATGGGCAGTGGACACAACAGATGTGGGCCCTATGGGGATATGAAACCAGAAGCCACTGGGACTTGGGGTGAGGTGCCCCAGGAAGTGGCTTGAGAGTCACTGGCCTAGTTCTTCTTCCCAAACTATCCTAGTGGGTTCTGCCCTCTTCTGATCTAGACAAAGACAGGAGGTTCGTTCTTAGGACAAGGTAAGTCTCTGGCCTGGGGACGCCAGGCCCCCTGCACTGGAGTAACAGGTGAAAAGGGGGCTGAACAAAAGTTTACATGCAAGCCTTTGGGCCCCCAGAAGCCAGGCCTCCGGCAGTCAGGCCTTCCTCTCCAGGGAAGAACCTACTCTGCACAGCCAGACAAGGGACCAGCATGCTGGCAGGGTCACCCCAGTGACTGGTGGGTGACAAGCACCCCACATGTGTGGCTGCTCCGCACCTGAGCCCTCTTAGGCATAAACGGCGCCGTTCGAGGACATTTACGGGTATGAAATCGGGTCAATGTGAGCTCGGGAGAAACGGGCCCAGCAGAGGGGAAAACGTAAACTAGGGAAGGACTAGAGGCACCATCCTCAGAGGATGCTCAGAGGCAGGATTTCTGGAAACTAGGAAGCAAGACAGAACCAGTGACCAGGGGAGCGAGGAAGCGAGGCAGGAGAGGGGAGAGCAGAAACAGGAGGCAGAGCCCAGCCTCCAAGTGCTGGGGAGCCAGAGCGAGAGGCTCAGGGTGGGGGCCGGTCCCCAAAGACATGATGCAGGACAATGATCCAGCACCAAGGGCCACGGGGCCCTGCCGACGTCCCCTGGGACCAACAGAGAGGTGACCAGGAGTCGCCAAGGCGCCTTGGGCACAGAGGAGGTCCCAGCTTCTCGAAGCAGCAGGAGCTGGAACAGGACTTGAGAGAGCAAGTTCCCACCCACCTCGTGGCAGCTCCTTCGAGGCCCCCAGCACCTCTCCCACAAGTCCCTGGAGCATGGGCCCCGGGACAGTGGACCCCGGGAAGGGGACTCCTTGGGACCCAAGAGGGGTAGAAGATGCCCCCAGAAACGGGTAGGGGGTTTCTCCAGGGGTGTGGACACCCCCTTCCCTGACTTGCAGAAACTCAAGTGAGCACAGAGACACTTGTGGGGGCAGAGGGACTTCTTAGATGCTCCAGCCTTTCTGTGGACCTTCTGGGGTCCGCTACCAGCTAAGGGCACAGGGCAAGCCTACAGTGGGGACCCTTCTCCCTACGCTGAGCCATCTGTGGGAGCCTGAGCACTGAGTCCTTGGCTCTCTCCATCCTGGGACAGGCACTGGGGAAGGAGGGACTCCCCAAGGCCCCAGGCACAGGGGCTCCGCCAGGGATGCCATCAGCCTCTGTAATGGCCCGGCAGGAAGGCTCAGCCCTGGGACCCAGGACCCCTTGCCCGGCCGTGCAGGTGGCCCACCATCCGATGCCCAGGGCTGGGTCTTCCAGCAGGACGCGCACAATGTAGAGCAGGCAGGTGAGAAGCTTCAGGGAGAAGTTGAACAGCCGGATCCTCAGGCCTGCGGGGAAGGCAGCGGCGTCAGGGCTCTGACCCAGCCCTGGGCTTCGGGGAGCTGGGCCTGCCCCAGGTCTGGCTGGGCAATCTGGATGGCCTCAGCTGGGCTCCCCTCCCACACCCGGGCTGCACCCGGAGCTCTGCATGCCCTGCATTGCTTGGGGGCCGATGCTCCTGGGTCAGCCTCCAAGAAGCTCCGTCCCTGGCCCCACCTCACAAGTGCCTGAACTTGGGGTGCAGGGGATTTCTAGAGGCCACTCCACTTCTTGGGGGATAGGATGGGGGTTGGGGAGCAGGCAGGTAGATTGGAGCCCCTGAGAAACCCCCAAGTCCTCACCCTGCATTCCTGGGGGGAGCCATGAGGCCAAGCTCTGGCTGGGAACAGGGCAGGGAGCAGCTGGGAGGGTGGGGCTGTATGGGGGGGGCAGGAGGCCAGGCATGGCCACAGGGGAGACCATGCTGGAGCCTGTGGACGGCCCCACCCTGCTCAGTCCTGTGTCCAGCAGGCGGGACAGTGTCCCCACGGGTCCCACTGGAGAGGCCCTGGTCTCAGGCAGTGTGAAGCCGAGAGGGGCTACCCTGTGCCCCACTCACCATGCAGACCCACCCCACCCTGCTTCCAAATCCCCCCACAGCTCGCAGGGATTCACCCGTGGACTCATCCCTGAGCTCACATCCCAGCCTTCCCATTGCCAGGCTTGCTTTTGGTGCCCTCAACGCCTCCCTGCCCGGGAGTGGCCCCCCAGGAACCCCACTCACTCGATCTTTGGTTTTTAATGAAGAACAGCTTCAGCCGCTCCTTGAAGGTGTTCTCGTTGACGTAGAACTCCACCTGGACCCTGAGGAGCAGAGAGGAGCATGGGGGCTCAGGCCAGCAGGGCTCAGGCTGGGGGCACGCCAATCCCGGAGGAGCAGAGAGGGGCGCTGGGGCTGGGGACATGCCAGAAGCCCCAACACGACTGACTTCTTCTAGCTGCAGGAGCTGCTTCCACTTCAGACCTGGGAGGACCCTGGTGTCCGTCACGCCCAGCAGACGGCCCACCCAGCCTTGGCTCCTCTAAACATCCCTCCTTGCACCCCTGGGCCCTCCAGCCCACCCTGTTGGGGCTCAGGGTGCGGTGCCCACTCCACACACCCTTGCCCAAGCCTCTGTGGGTGCAGGGCAGCTGCCAGGAGGTCCAGTTGCCCATGAGGGCCTCGGCATGGTGCTCAAGACAGGACGAGTGCTCAGAACACACCGTAGGACCATGTCACACAGACCGTCCACAGCTGAGGGGCAGCTGCTCTGTCTGGAGGCCGCAGGGGGGGCTAACCCTGACTGCAGCCTGAAGGGCTGTCAGGGCAGATGGGCTGGCGGGAAGTAGTCATCCCTGCACCCACCCCACAGGCCAGCTATGGGGGCCCTCCTGCCAGGGCCGCTCCCCTTCCCTCGGGCTCACCTGTGGCCCCAGCCACCAGTTCCCAGACACCCCTGAGCCCCCCTGCACACCGCTGCTCGTGGGGCCTGCCAGCCCGCCCTGTGGCCTTCAGCAGGCCCGGCAGTCCTGAGAAGAGACCGGGGTATCCAGCAGCAGTTGGGGGGAGGCGGGGTGGCGAGACTGCACGGCCCACCTACCGTGGCCACCACGTGCATCACCCAAGCTGGCCACCGAGAGGTGGGCAAAGCTGAAGTTGGACAGCTGCTGCCCCCATCGCCCTGGCCTTGGCCACAGGCCCTACTGTGCCCGGCTGTGGTGGGAGGCAGGCCAGGCTGGGCCAGGGTTTCATGTTCCCCTGAGATGAAAACTCCAGTGCTGCCGGCCTGCCGGACAGACGGGAGCGAGACCCGGAGCCAGGGTTCCTGCAGCAGGCATGGCCTGCCTCTGGGAAGGGGGAGCACATGTGCCCCTAAACGGCCTGTGCCCTGGGGTGCTGGGCTGTCCCCCATGGGCCCCTCGGCTGCTCCCAGCCACGGCCGCTGTGCCCTCCACGATGGCTGCTCCTCTCAGTTGGCTGCCTCAGCCCTCGGGGGGCTGCCTCCAGTGCCTGGCCTTGCTCCCTGGGGTCAAAGAGAGGTGTCCCAGCTCCCTAGGGGATGGTATGGGGGCAGAACCAGCAGTCCAAGCAAGCTCCTCAGGCTGGGCTTCCCCTTGCCAGTGCAGTGCGAGGGCTACAACACAGTGAGGCACAGATAGGGGACCCGGAGGGAGACTTGTGCTGCCTGGAAGGATCCTGGAGGGCTGCGTGGAGGAGGCAGCATTCAAGCAGAGGTCCTAGGGCAGCTGTCCAGAGGTGGGGGGAGGTAAGCACAGCCCAACCCCTGCTCCTGCTGCAACCCCTTCCTTGTCACCGCCCACCGGGGCTGCAGCCTGTGACACCCAGTGGGTGGGCTGTGAGCCTCGTCTCCCCTCTGAGCAGGCTCCCAGCAATTGAATCTGAGGGTTTGATGTCACTGCCTGGCCCAGGGCTGGTGATCCTAACATCTCCAAAAGTGATGAAAATATTCAGCATTTCCCAGAGCTCACAACACTCAGGGTAAGTGATATGGGCAGGTGTGGGCAGCGGCCTTCGTGGTGGGGCTGCTGAGGGTAGGAGGGAGGGGCCTTGGTAGACTCCCAGCACCTGCCCTCATCTGCCCCCGTGGCCACAGAGCTCTGCTGGTCATAGAGCTCAAGAAGGGGCCAGGGGCTGCTCACAGTGACTCATGCCCATAATCCCAGAGCCTTGGGAGGCAGAGGCGGGAGGATTGCTTCAGGCCAGGAGTTTGAGACCAGCCTGGGCAACATAGCAAGACCCCCGTATCTATAAAAAATAGCCAGGCATGGTGGCACGTGCCTGTAGTCCCAGCTTCTTGGGAGGCTGAGAGAGGAGAATCATCTGAGCTTGGGAGTTTGACCCTGAAGTGAGCTGTCAACACACCACTGCACCCTAGCCTGGGTGACAGAGCGAGGGCCTGTCTCAAAAACAAGTAATAAATAAATGACATAAAGAAGGGCCCAGGGCGCAGGAAGAGGTGCCATGGCTCTGGGCGCCCTGCTGAAGAGGAGGCTCAGGCCAGGTCCTGGGGCAGGCTGGTCACCCCGCCTGGCACACTCGGGGGCCAGGCAGCAGGACGAGCCTTCCACAGACCAGTGGGATTCGAACCCAATGCTAAGGGGGTGTCAGTCTGCCCCCAGAGTGCCCCACCATGTCCTGAAACCCCTCAGCACAGATGACTTTGCTCTCCCTGCCAGGACCCTCCTCCTTCCCCCTGGCCCCTCCTCGTGCCACACACCCTGGAACCCACTCTTGTCTGTGCCTGGAGCCCCAGTGGGGGAGGCCCCTCGCTGCATGAGGGTCCCTTTGGGGGGGTTTGTCCACCGCCGTCTTCCTCTCTGAGTGACAGGCTCAGACAAGACACTGGAGGTCCAGGCTGGGCTGGGCAGGTCTGGCTGGGTCTGGGGGCAGGCAGGGCTGAGTGGGGAGCTGCCCCTGGGGACTGAGCCCACGGTTTCCTAAGGTCCTCCTCCCCTCACTGCCAGGGGTCCCCAGGGACAACCAGGTCCGAAAAGCATGGAGCTTAGGAACGCACCCTCCCTGCCTCACACCACAGTCCCGCCCTCCATGGCAAAAGCCTCCATGCAGGGGGGTCTGCCTGCCTCACTTGCCCCTACTGCCTCCCACCCCCTCCTCTGGGGCAGGGAGCCTCACTGTGCCCTTAACGGGGATCAGGCCCTAGAATCTGTCCTCCTCCCTGGGCCTCTCAGAACGGCCTCCCCCAGCTCTGGTTTTCTCCTCCCCACTCCGTTCTCCCTGGGGGCCCCAGGGCTGGCCACAGGTGCCTCTCCCCAACCCAGCCCAGGAATTAAGTGCCATGCAGGGGTGACTTCCCAGCTGGCTCTGCGGGCAGCCGTCCAGCCCCGCTCTGCCCTCCGGCATTACCCCCAACCCCCAGCAGAATTCTCCATTCCTGACCGTACCAGGCCAGCACCCTCCACCCCCTGCCGACCTCTGGCCCCCGTACCCTCCCCTTCGCTGGGCCAGAACCATCAGCAGGTCCCACAGCTCTGCCCTCAGGATGTTTCTATTTCCCTGTAGCCAGGAGGTCCCGCCCACTGGCTCCTGGCCCTCCTAGAGGTCCCCTACCCAGGTGGGATGGGGCCCAGACTCCCTCTGCGCCACCTGCCTGGTCTCCCTGGACATTGCCATGTGCATACTCAGCCCTGCCTGTCTCTCCAGCCTAAAGGCCCCACGAGGGCTCCCCTCTGACACCCCGCCAGGCCTGGGGCTCCTGCCTGGCCTCCCCTCCTAGGCGGGTGCCTGGCTCTGCCCTGACCATCACCCCACACTCCGATCCACGGCCACACGCTCCTCCCTCCGGTGGTCACGAGCCTCCCAAGAGCTCCTCCTCCTCCCTTTACCTCCCCACAGACCTGGCACAGCTGGGCCTCTGGGGCTTGGGCCTCTGCAGCCGCCCGCCAGGACCGTGAAGCCAGTGCGTCCCGCTGCACTTCCCTTGGCCTCCCCAGCCAGGAAACAGAGAAATGCAACGCATCCCACTGCCAGGACCTCACCGGCTTCCTGGCACCCTTCCCGCCCGGGCACCGTGGGGTTGGGACTGCTGGCCTGGGGCTAGTCCTGCCCCCAACAGCTTCTCCTGGAGGCCCCTTGGCCTCCTCCTGGCAGCCTAGAAACCGAGCGATGAGCCCCCTCCTGGGGGAGGGTCCAGCCAGACCCTGGTCTCCTTACCCAGGGGCTGTGGGCCCCCATCTGGGCAGCTCCCCCCATGGCGCTCAGCAGGCAGTGCCCACCCACATGGACGGCACCCTCCACGGGGAGCCAGAGAAACGCTGGGGCCTGGCAGTCCTGCTCCCTGAGAAATGGGAGCCCTGCAATGCCAGGGAAATTAATGACGCCTCCTCGGCGGTTAATTTTTAATGAACTGTGGCCGCCCACTTCTCCGAGCACCACCGCAGAAAGGAGATTGAAATGATCCATTTTTCCCTGAAGTGTATTTCAGGTGACTGGTGTGATCTGTCTTAACAAATCACATGGTGGCACCTGAGGAGGGGCCTGTGGCTGCTCCGGGCCAACCCCGCTGGTGCAGGCATGCCTGGTGGCCCCGTCAGAGTGCCCAAGCCTCCTTGCTGCGCCAGAGGTTCAGGGTCACTGGTGGCCTGGAGGGCCCCACTGGCTCCTCAGCATCACAGAATCCTCCTGGCCTGGCAGCCAGAGGCCCCGGGCTGAGACCCAGTGAGCCCTGCGAAGCCACACGGGCCCGGCTGCTCTCTCCACCTGCCAGCACTGGGGCTTCCTCCCTGGGGAACCAGAACCAGGACAGGGACAGCCTCCGAGGCGTCCTGAGGGCAGCAGACAGGTGGAGGAGCTCTTTTCTGTGGCGGAACAGAAACAATGGCCTCTGTGTCCTAGGCCTTTCCCGGAGGATGCCCTTGCTCGGAGGCTCCGGTGAGAGGTTGTCCCTCGGCTCATCGGTGGGCCAACGCCCGTCTGCTCAAACCAACAGGGCCCGCGTCAGCCAGAAGAGACTGCTCGGGCCTTAGGCTCACCAGACTCCCAGGCTATGAAGCCACAGGTGTGGACCACGGGCAGAGGCGGGACGCTGGGTGGGGCTGCACTCCCCGCTTCCTGCCAGGACCCAGCCAGTGGGAAAGCAGGGGACCAGCTCACGGCAAGTTGCTCCCAGGGGCTGGGTGTGGGCTTGGTGGAGCGCCCCGAGAGGTTGGAGCCCACCGAGAACTCCCGTGGGGAGCCGTCCCCAGGGCTGGGAGGGATCTGCCTGCAAACGCGGGCTCCGGGGCTGCCGGGCAAGGACAGGGCAGAAAAGTCTCCTTCCTGAGTCCATCCTCGCCCACTCACTACT